CACAAATGACAGCAACAAGCAAATTCCCACTGCCAGAGTCATTTGTCCATCAAAAATGTAGGCTTGTACCTGGAACTGCATCTGATTAACTTCATTCTGGGAACTCCTACTACTTTTACAGGAGAAACGAAGCCTCATGGGGCGCTACTCAATATTTGGCGAAATCAGTCGGCACCTCAATTCCCCGAAAAAAGGCAGTCTCACTTCACTGTACAACACATACCAGTAGTTTCTAATTAAAAAGATCTGGCAGCACAATTCTGCCTGACTAAGTTTCGGACAATAAAAAAACATTGTCACAACAGTGTGCAGCATGTAAAAAGACACTGAGCTGCTAATCTTTTCTCGAAAACAAAAGGAATGTCAGAATCGCTAGCAAGCTAACCACCCAACAGTGCAGTAATTGGGAAAATTTGAGTTCCACAGTAAAAGAACCCCAGACAGCTGGTCGAAAGAGTATGGAAAGTTTTTGATGAATAAATAGTCCACGGAAAGTTACGCCAGTAATTTTGGTGAAATAGAAATAACGTCCTATTTTCGAAAAAGAAAATTTTATTCATTGTCTTTATTACTGGGTCAAATAGAAGTGCATTACCTTATCGAACTCTTGATTTACGAGGGCCAGTATGGCGACAGGAAGTACTGTGAACAGTGCGCTGTAGTATAAGAGACCATACTTTCCAAGTTCCTTTAAGTGAAAATTAATTAAAATGGGATGTAGTAAATCGCATGTTTGTCAGTAAGAAGATTGGCAGATGCATACCTTAGCCTCGAGCTTCTGTTTCATGTAGACTCCATTTGCTGCTGTACAAATGTCATTAACCAGGATCAACGAATATCCCCACATATCGAACGACAAGTCATATCTGCGAAGAGCCATTCTGTTAGTTGAGAAAAAAATCGTTAACCAATCTATTTATTAGCTAGCACGAAACCGATTATTAAATGGTAGTCGTTCAATTAACATCATCCATAGAACAGTGATTCCTTTTACTAATATTATTAAAGCCAGTATTATCACCAGAAAACAGTAAGGTATGCATGCATGTTTTTTATTCTGTACACGTATACTTCCCACAGAATCCCGACCAGGCACCCTATCGTGGTGTACGAGTGACAGTGTAGTAAGCGAACATATTCTGTCAAGAAGACAATGTGCAGCGTTTGTCCGATTGAATTTGGGCAATATGAACCAATACCACCCTGACAATCACCTAATAGTACACGTCCCATACTTATCGAAGGGAAAATGTACACAGATCTCTAAATGAAAGCCAAAAAGGCGCCCGGAAATGATGGCCTTAACATCGGACAAATCAGTTTCGAAGGCTACGAAATTTGCAAGTACAGCAAATTGCGTATTTTACAAGGATGTACTGAAATCTACTACCCTCCAGGCGCAGCAACGACAGGCTTTTTGGTCCTGCGCTGCATTCTGTATATTTTATTTACATAAAAACTTGTGTAGGAAATTATCAATATTTGACGGAAAACAAACAGTTCCCGGGAACAAATCTGAAAAAAAAAAGGCTTACACCGCTGCAATCATTGACCCAAAAATCATCAGTGCAACTGAGATTTTCACTGCACATGATGCCTCCACTCTGAAAAAAAAAAAAAAAAAATTGGAATATGTCACTGAATCACAATCAGCCTCTACAGCTTTGCAGCACTGCTAAGATGGATGTTCCAAATTCCGGCTTTCTGTTTTTGAAGATTTGCTTGGAAATTGATGCTGCAGCAATCGTACTTATAGGGTCCTCTGCACATTGATGTCCTACAGTAGAGGACTCAAAGTGCCTAAATTTTTTACCCGAACCTTAAAACAGGACAATAACACCACAAACGCAGTGCAGGGCAAGTTCGGCAAGCGGAAAATAAGTGGAATGTAAATGATTATAAAACCATAACGAGACTTTTCAACTGACGTATTTCTACCCCTATACTGCGCGTTTTGGAAATTTTTTGAAAAATGTAAACTATGAAAGTTTGTTTGGCACTGTAGGCCAGCCGATGA